CCTATTATCTTCCAACAAACAGAGGAAGGGAAGGTTCTTAGCCACCCCATGGAGAGTGTGACTGGGGGTGAGCAGAAAGCCCCCTCTTTGATGGGGGCACCACAGTCCTGACCTAACGCCATGCACAGCTGACCTCGACCTGTCCCTGCTCACACTGCAGATGTTCCTGGAAGTTCCACCACAGGAACACCACCTGCTCCAGTTCACGTCTCGTGCTGTTGAACTGGTAACACGGGGACCAGCAGCACCATTTCCTGACATTAAAATTCACGAAAGGATGAGGCTTGACACCCAAAATAGACTGATAGCAAAAAATGGCACATTTCTGTCCTTCACCCTTTCCCTATCTGGCCAGGTAGCCTTACAGCTCTCCCCGGGCTGCTGGTGACCTGCTTGGTGTAGAATGTGGCGTGTGACAGCCCAAGGCCAGGCCCCACAGGCCCTTCCTGTGCTGCTCTTCATCTGAATCCACTCACCATCGACAATGGCTCAGCCTGTAGGGCAAGAGGCACTGGGGACCCAGGTGAGCAGGGCAGCAGGAGGCAGCTATCCCCCAACCCCACAGCATGCCTGGTCACGGCCACTGAGGCCAGCAGCCCCGCTCCACCTCCCAGTGCCCAACCAGCCTGGAGCTCCACAGACACACAGCGGAGGCCCCGATTGCAGCTCTGGGAGGTTCTGTGGGGCAACTGACAGCTGCTGGCAGGCCAGCCTTCACCAACCGCCCGCGGTCTCCAGCAGAAGGAAGCAGGCCTGGGCTTGCCAGAGCCCTGGTTCCTATGAACAGAGGCTGTGAGAACACACGCATGTCTCCCTCCCCAGCCGTCCGGGTGACAGCAAGCGCCTTACTGTAAGAGGGCCTGTGGAATCCCAATAGAAGTCATAAAATCAGCAATGTTAAATTTGCAATGATGATCATAAAATGCATAAAGCACATAATTAATCTTGTATAACAACTCAATGAATTATTATTATTTAAGTTAAATAATAATTTAATTCTATGTTTAACAATGGAGGAAGAAGCTCATGAATGTCTTATTTTGAATTCAGGAATCTAACGTCGTCTGTTCCCCTTGGTTCCAACTTTCCTTTCTTCTTCATCTTTGAAGACTCAGAGTGAAGGAGGAATGCAGATTCTAGAGCATGGTCAGCCACAGAATTGGCCTGCAAGCTGCTGACATACCCCTCAGGCATTAGGACATTACGAGTTCATTCCCGTGGACCCAGGCTAGCTATCCCCCTGCCACTGATGAGCTGAGCTCCTCGGGTTCAGTTAGGACTTAGATGAGGGATCCTGAGGAGATCCAGGGCTGTGCCAAGTCCTGCCAACCAGTCCAAAAGAACCTCCGTGTCCCCTCATCTCTGAAGCTCCCCTGTCAGTCACGGTGAGTCCCAATTTTCACACAATTCCTAAGACCTGTTGCCCCGACCTTATTTTCTATCTAGATTCAGAATTTAGCTTCTCACATCAGTATCCCCTTCTCGTGCTCTTCATATGCTTTCTATTTATTATTTTTTTATATTGCAAGGGCATTCTTTCTGCTTTGGACCTATGAGCCATCCTTTCGGGGTTGGGGACTGGGGAATGACTTGAGAAAGCGTCATGAGGCCTGACCTGGTATCACTCTGCCACACGTCAGGTAGGGTCAGGTGAGGTCAAGTGACCTGCTTACACCTCTCTGGGGCCTTGCTTCTCCTATGCCCCCAGCAAGAATTGACAAGATTCACTTTAGACTGCAGTTATTTGGCACTAAGTTTTTCATTGGAATTGTGCTCTTCTAATCTGTGTAAAGTAATAAATAGTGACATTAATCTTTTGGAAAGCAATATGAGCGGCAGGAGTTTTTCAACAGGTCCTTGTGACAGTTTCCCCCCTTAAGCGTCCACAACCAAAGTAATTCCAGTTTGTATGACACCTGACTAGTCCCCTCTGTGCACATCATGGATCAGGAGCAGGAGTACAGGGTGAACGGCCTTCACAGCTCACAAACATGCACACATCTCTTCGGTGTTTGGTGTGGGAACAGTGTTTGATGTTTGGTGTACAGTCTGCCCATTGCATTGCTTTGGTTTAAGATTGACTCCAATTAGAAAAGAGCTATGACCGAGTTCCATCCTTATGATCTGAAGTTCCCTATGTTTCCCCATGGTGATGGGTACTTGCTTCTTTGATCTGAAAAGGTCACTGGCCTGGGGTAAAGCACCATAGCCAGGTACTTGGGGAGCACCTTCTTTTCATTGTGCTTTAATTTTTATTCCCTGTCAAACATAGCCTTGATTTTTCGAATGACTTCATGAAGGAGAACCTGCTGTCAGAATACAGGCAACTGTTAACATCTGTTGGACTAAAAAAAGTAGTATCTGCCACATTTTTGTGGAAAGAGCCAGATTGTAAGTCCTTTGGGTTTTGTTGGCCACACAGTCTCTGCTGTGACACCTGAGCCTTGGCATTGTGAAGCAGTCATGGACAATCTGTAGACAAATGAGCCAGGTTTCAGTGAGACTTGACTTGCAAAAGCAGTTGGCCAGACCAGTTCAGGCTCTAAGCAAAGTATAACAACATCATTTTTCTAAATTAGACCTTAAAGTTCAGGGCTGAATTCTCAACCTGTCGCAGACTGAAGGATTATCTCTGCTTGAATCCTTGCAATATTTGTCCTTAGAGTTATATTTGTAGGATGTTTTTAATTAAAGAAAACTCCACATCCAAATTTGAATCCTTGTCTTCCTTTTAAAAGCCAGGTTGAAGACCGGCACAGTGGTGCATGCTTATAATCCCAGCGCTTTGGGAGGCTGAGGCAGGAGAATCTAGAATTCAGAGTCAGCCTCAATAACAGCCCTAAGCAGCTCAGTGAAACCCTGTCTCTAAATAAAATACTTAAAAGGGCTGAGGATAAGTGCCTCTGGACTCAATTCTGGGTAAATAATAAAAACAAATGGTTCTATCTGGCCCCCATCACTATTGCTACAACCCACACACTGGCCACTCACTTCCAACTGTCCCCCTTTTATGTAATATTTTTAATTATTTATTTATTTGAATTAGGTATATATGACAGCAGAATGCATTTTGACTCGTTGTACACCAATGCAACACAACTTCTCATTTTTCTGGCTGTCCCTTTTGCAGGGGACCTGTGTGCTGCCATTTCCCCTAGCCTCCAGCCTCCCCCTTTGCTCCCTCCTGAGCCTGAGAAGCAGCTTTGAGTAACTGCACAGTGTTCTAAGATCTGTCACCCACATCAGTTCCCAACTGTACCCACAGGCTGGAGTCTGCCCTCTCCTATTCTAGGATGAGCACTGGATTCCGCATACAACTAGAGGAAATGGGAAACTTGCACCATTGTAAAGAACAGCATTTACTTTTCACAATGGAAAGAAACTGATTAAACACTGTTTTGGTTTTAGTCTTTTAAAAAGACCCTAATAGTGAATCATTTTATATCAACCATTCTTCTTTCATTTCATCCATTTGAATTTATAAAAGAGAGGCCCTGGTCATCTCCATTGGGAAACTCAATTCGGAAACTCTGATTCCCTTTTATGTTATACTGGACACAATTGGAGGTAATTAGAAACCCCATTTACCAAACATGCAAAGTCCTGTACTCAGGAGAAAGGGAAATTCTGCCTCCGTCTGAAGAACATTTTGGAGACATCCAGGCACTGTCCAAGCTCATTCTCACCTTTCCAGGTGAGCGCAGGTTTGCTGAGAAAAAAAAATTAGAGGGCATTGAGAGAGGAGGATGACAGGTGATTTAAGTTTACTCCAATTCAGTCCTTTTGGTAAAAATGTTTGTGTTTTTTGAACAATACTTTCAAATGAGAGAGAGAGAGAGAGAGAGAGAGAGAGAGAGAGAGAGAGAGAGAGAGATCTGGAGCAGGAGCAGCTCAGGCCCAGCCAGATGATCTGCCCAGCATGGTTGACACTCAGGACTGCCTAAGGCAAGAAGTCCACTGTGAGCTCTCCCTGGGCACCTACAGGCTCCACGCAGGCTGGCAGAGAAGTGCAGAGCACACCCACCACATTTTCTCATGCAACCTTTCTCCAAAATTTCAAATTCAGCAAGGTCAGACCATACTGAATGTGAGGGACCCTGCAACTACAGCAGCAGAAGTCCAGGACCCAGGACCTAGGGAAAGTATGGGCGTGGGAGAGCAGCCAGCAGAGAAGTACCCTTTGCATGTACTCACAAGGGTGTAGACACATATTCGTGTACTTATACACGCGTGAATGCATGAACTTACTGTGCATGATGTACACATGTGGTCGGTAACCCTACTGTATAATCCAACAGGCCAGCAGTGATAGAGTGAAATTCCTGGATCACCAAGCTCCACGCACATGAGCTTACACACAGCCCCGTGCGTGCCCAGCCCCATGCGTGCCCAGTAAGGTTGGGCGCCCTTTGGTGCTCACGCAATACCCTCTGCAGGGCGATAAGAGGGTATCTTCTGCACCCTCCAGAGGGCCCAGGGTACAGGCAGGACGCGGAGAAAGCCAGGGAGTCAGAAAGCAATCCTGCTGGCTGCAGGTGCTCTGCTCTTTGAGCTGCGCAAGTCCAGCCCTCCTGTGTGTGAAGCCGGCTGCCCACGGCTAACCGCAGGGTCCTGCAACCCAACAGCAGGTCTGCTGGGTCCTCTTACCCTTTTCTGCCCTCCCCTCCTCTTCTCTCCCCCTCCTGTCTTCCCCTCCTTTCCCCTCCTCCCAGGCTCTCCCAGGGCGGGTGCTCAGCGGCCCTAGCCACTGGGGCTGCCACTCCACCCCCCCCGCGCTGCGCGGAGGCGCAGTAATAACCCCCGCGCGGGCTCTGGAGTGGCGGCTGGAATCCTGAGCCGAGCCCGGGTGGGATCTTCGCTGCACGCTTGCACACTGGTGGCTGGCTGCTGCCCGGCTGCGGACCATCCAGTGACCCGCCCTCACGGCCGAGCGCCCCTGGATAAAGCCCTGCGAACTCTACTCGGGAGCGCAACGCCAGCTTGCGCGGGGAGACCGGGCTATGAGGGTCCCAGGCTGCGCGACGCTCTGGGTGCTGCTGCTGGAGCAAGTCTGCGTGCAGGTGAGTAAGGTGGCCTTCTGCCACAGGCGGTAGGTAGCCGTACGTCCCTCCCGGGGCTCCTCTCCCGCAACCCCAGAGGTCTCACCAAGGTGTTTTCCAGCAGGCACCTGCGTGCGCGATGGAACCCGCAGCTGCAGCGGCTGGAAGCCCTAGCGTCCCGCATCTGCCCCCTCCCCCGGAGCGGCCTGGAGGAATGGAAACCGGCGGTAAGTCAGCGAATTCGGGTCTTCTAATCCGTGCAATTTAGCAGCTCGTAAAAACCCCACCGCTGGTTTATAAACCGCTGCGAATGTTCCTAACTCTAAACTCTGCTTTTAAGACGTTTCGCTGCATTCTTCAAACAGCCTGAGTGCGCGCTCACGAGTGGGCTTCCACCGATATTTATATTGAAATCCCTGATATAATAGTCACGGTGTGCCAGTTTTAATAGTAAGAAAGAGACAAGGAAATATATTTTACTTTTAGAAAATTAGAAGAGCCTAGGCAGGGTCTAGACCAATGTATAGGTGAATGTACACCTCATTGATGTAAAGTCTTTACCAGAGTTTCTCTCTTCCCCTCCTCTCCCCCACCCCAAGTCTCCCTCTGTATCTAACTATCAGAGTAAGAGACAAAAGGCTGTCATTTTTCCACAGTGCCTGTGATCTAAGTATAAAAGTTAATGCTTTGCAAGAACTGAGTCACAAGTGAAGCATCATAGAGAGTGGAATGGCTAATTAGCTTGTTGTGATGTCATCAGCAATGTTTGTGTTCTGTGCCACGATTTGGTAGGGAAGGAATCTGATCCTTCTACAATGTGTGGTTTGGCTTCTGCTGCTTACAAGTGGCTTTTGCAGCATCTGAGTGGAATGGGTCTGTGTCATGCTACCCCCTCAGATAAACGAGAAAGCAGATGTGTGACATTGGTTTCTAGGTGGTTTCTCTCTGTGCCCTGTGTGACAGCAGTTACTGGATGTTAGTTCTCCGTATCATTTTTCCACAGGGAATGACATTGGCTTTTAGAGGAAGAATTACGTTTGATTATTTCAATGTGTTCTTAGAAAACCTAGGAAAGTAGAGTTAATGATCACAAATTCTTCCATGCAGTTTCTTCATCCTGTTTAACAGAAAGACAAAATATATATGCATTAGCTGTTGAAATTCTGTCCCACTGAGTGAATATGTGAATTGTACAGAGTATATAAGGAGATTGATGCTCGACCGTGGGCCCCTTTGAGCACCACCAGAGGGCGCTAGATACAAATAATATAAAATGTTTAAAAATCACTTTCCCTGTAGTTAAGGGGAACGTTAACTCTGGGTCTGTTTAAAGCTCCCTTCGCAAGCGATCCTTATCTCCTTTAATGCTTCTCTCCCCGTGCATTCTACAACATGATCATATTAGAAGTTAATGGTCCACCTTCACGTATTTCTTTTAGGATGTGGTAAAAAAGTACTTGTTTTAGAATAAAATCAGGAAAATTCCAGAGGGACTCAGGATATTTTAGAGTATTTTATAGCAGTTTTGAAGTTTATTTAGAGCAAGAACATTATAGATAGAGCACTATTCAGGAAGAAAAGCCTGTGCTTCCTGCCTAAGACTTGGGCTTCCTTACCTTTCCTGTGAGCACGGAGGGAAGCAACTTTTTGTCACCTTGTCAGCTGGTATCGTTAGCACAGTGTGCCCATGATAGCCACTTACCTGGCTGGGTCAGAACCTGAAGCAGGTGTGAGCCATCATCAGGGAGGTTCTGTCTTAGTAGACACACTGCCCCCACCTCCCCACCCTCTTGTGCTTTAGCTGTTTAATTATGAAAGGCTGAACTGAGAAAGTGGGCAGCAGTGGACAGTGCCTACACCTCCAGAGAAAAGACCACTCAGCAGTACTCCCTGCTTGGGTCTGGAGTAGCAGAGCTATCATGCACTTCATGTGACCTTGGGATCAGCTGACTGTGGGATGTCAGGTACCCATGATACAAGTTGATTTTGAAATAACTATCTGGGGCCCTGATTTTTGTTCCAAGTAACAATTCCTAAATGTTGCTGGGTGTCTGAGCCATCAATCTCCCTGTGAAGAGAGGATGCCATCGATGTCCTTGATCCATTCCATTTTCAGAATCTTAAGAAACACGCCAATTTTTTGTTTTTGTTTTTGTTGTTGATTCAACATTGCTTTTTATTCGTTAATAGGAGATTAAATGCTCTTTCCTACAAATATATCTTTGTAATAAAAATCCTGGCTCTGTTAAACCAAAGATCCATCACAGATTGCTAACTTTTTAATTTCCTCAGTAAGGTTTAGAAGTTCTTTAGAACTTGCTTTAACTGGATGTAAAAGATGTGTGTTTGTGTGTGTCTGTTTGAAGTTTGCAATGGTTTACATTCAGACACCTACATGCCAGGAGACAGGGCAGTCCCCGGATGGCCCAGCAGGATGCTTGTAAATGTTTGACAACCTCCCCTTTGGGGGGGAGGTCTTGGGCACCAGTTCATACATTTGATTGGATTCCTGTGGTATAAATATCCCATTGCTGCCAAATCCCAGCCACCAGTGTGATGTCACTGAACACAGAGGAGGAAGCAAAGTGCCTGGAGCTGCTACCTGCTGGCCCCCCAGGCTCACCAGGGGGTCTACACCCCCAGTGGTCTTTTCTACACTGACTCCTTCTAGACTTGAGGCTGTGTTCAAAAAAACTTGAAATCATGTAGTTCAGTGTACTGAGTGAGCAGGGATCCACAAACTTTTTTCTCATTAAACACATCTAACATGGGCAAGGTCTTTTTTAAAGGATTGCAAACAGCAGGAATCTCACTGTGCTTTAAAGACATCATGAGCCACTGTTTGGGGGATTACAGTCTTAGAGCAGGAGTGCAGGGTCAGGGCAGCATTCGGCTCACGGGTGTCCCAGCTGGCTTCTCTCCCAAGGGTGCCAGGGCGGATACCCTGCTCGGTGGGTTCATTCTCTGAACTCTGGCTTTTCCATCCAAGGACTCATACCTAGAGCACACATGGGGTTCTAAGGGGCTGCTCTCTGGAATACAGGAAGGCTTTTCAACCTTGGCTGTAGTGACATCCTGTTCTGGGGGCTGCCCCATGATTGCAGAATGCTCAGCAACAGCCCCGGGTCCAGCCTGCCCCAGTCCCCCCAGTCCAGGAGCAACAGTCTCCCTTTCCCCCTGTGAAGACCAAAAAGTCTCCAGACAGTGCCATGTGTCCCAAGTGGCGGGAGTCACCTCAGCTGAGCACCACTGGACAGAACCTGGAGGAGGCTCTCCCAGCAGGCCCTTCTCCTCCCTCTTGGGAGGGACAGGGATAGAAGCAGGTAGTGCAGCTGGGGTCTCTGCCAGAACATGCCAGTTCTGGAGAGGCAGCGGCTGCCATGGTGGGGGTTTACTCAGCTGATTGCTAAAAAATTAAAACTTATAAAAACACAGTGAAATGAAGCCCCTGTTACAAAACAGCTAAATACGCAGCTCCCCTCCCTTCCTGATTTCCCGCATCCTCCTGTCCCCTGTGCTTCCAAGGCCATTAACACCTTGCATCTGTGAGGTGGACACATGTCACAGTGATGGACCACCGCCAGTCCCTTCCTGATTCTGTGCCAGCAATACCATGTTGGTCACTGCAGCCAGCTGTGCAGGGTGTTTGCACCAGGGACACGGGGCGATGCCACCTGTCAGCCTTTCTCCTGGGTGGCTCAGCACAGCACTGCGTGCCCTTGGGAAAGAGGTCCTTCAGCCAATCACACCCTCCACTCAGTGAAGGGTAAATATCCTCCACCCTCCAAATAAAGGTCCTAAGAATGTGGCTTATGTCACTGGGGAGAAGTGTGACTTTTTAATTCAGTTGTCACCTTTTCGTGTGCAAGAGAGTTTGCTGATGAGCTGTGCTCTGAAGCCACCCCATGTGCTTCCTGTCCCCACTGACCCCAAAGGACGGGTAAGGGGTCAGGGGCAAATGGAAAGCTGTCCCCTGGGAGGCCAGGTGGTGAGAGGCCTTAACAGATGATGGGGAGGAGCCTTTCCTAGAACCCAGAACCCGGGTGAGAGGGGTGTCTCCCTGTAAGGAGAGTGCTTTGGGCAGATGCAGGCCACACAGGAGCAAGGCTCCTCCTCTTTGAGTGGCACCTGGAGCGGACGACAGACTCGCACATCTCACCAGAAGCACCAACCGCTGCCCCAATTCTCCTTCTCCACCAAGACGGGCACTTTCACCAGTTTCACATGATTTCTCATTTTCCTAATTAAAACATCACGCGTTGCCAACGGCTTCTACCCCGTCAGACACAGTTACCTTCTTCGGTGGTTAGTTGAAGATCGGTGGTCACTTGTCAAGTCCTCGGTGGGAACCTGCTGCCTCTCCACTCTGCAAGGCCCTCCCCACCCCAGTCAGGTCGGCTGAGTGCCCGTTCATACCACAGGGTGGGGACCGAGCTCAGCTGGGCTCTGAACTACAAAGAACTGCATGGAGGGGGACTTGCCATGCCCTCTGACCCCTGCCTGCCCGGCACGGGCCCTCACCCTGCCCTGGGCCCCAGCAGCAGGCTCTCCGGCTGTGTCCTGCCATCACCCCTGGCCTTCTTCACCTCCCCCAAACCCAACGCACACCTTTCCCCAGAGCCCTGCTCCTGTGTCACCACGAAGTCACCTACCAGGACTGAGCAGGAGCAGAAGGACAATCTACTCTGGAGTTTAACTGTGAAGAAAATCTTCTCCCCATCTCCAAAAACAATTTRTTGAATATTGTTGACTTACAACAAATTCCACTTGACAGAAGTAGATGGAGGTTTTACGGACAAAGCAGAGAAGAGCTGGGTTCTTAAGCGTCTGGCAGAGCAGCTTCCTGAGAGCGTCTGTTGATAACAGAGGGGAGATGCCTTCTTAGAATATGAGCCCTGGGGTTATGTCCAACAAGCCAGAGGAACTACAGTGCGAGTCCACTGGATGTCCACCTGGATGCTGTGAGATTCCTTTGGCCTGCTCTGGGGCTGGGTCCAGTGTCCTTTTCAAAGACAACTCACATTTGGTGGAAGGCCTCACACCATGCAGATATTTTAAAGTGTGCAAATGTGTAGAAAAAATTCAGGAGAGGAAGCCAGCCCTCTCCTAGAAAGTGCAGGCCCAGGGCTCACCAGCAATTGGAGGCACATGGACCATAGGCATAAGCTACTGTGCCCCATCATCTGGGTTGTGGGACACCTATGGAAACTTAGGTCCCATGTATGGTAACTCTGAAATAATCATCATGTTTGTAGAGGTCTATTCTTTTGAGATAAGTAATAGATTGTGATTAGAGCATTTGAATATATGTCCATTGACACAGGGGCTTAACGTAGGTGGGAAATGGAAGCTCTAGATTATTCCAACCTATTTTAAGTCACCCATGTCGATTTGTGCTTGGAAGACTGAGACTTAATGGGTTAAATAAGGAAAAGATATAAAACAAGCTGACAAATCACTCACTACATGTGATCYGGCCTTGATACAGTGGTCTTTGCTTGGCCGTCAACTCCAGGTCTGAGTGGAGAACTTGTTGTGCAGCAAGATCTGACCCCAAGGGTGAAGCCCACCCTTCCCTCCCACCCTCTGGGAAGCACCTTGCCCTGGACCATGGAGGGTATTGTTGATGSTGGTGATGAGAGGACAGGTCCTGGTTCCCTGGAGAGGGAGGAGTCATCTGGAGAAGACACAGAGGTGGTCATAGGACCTGCCAGGATCCCTCAGAGCCCCAAGCTCTGCTCTTTCTTCTGCAGAAAAGGCCTGACCCCAGATGCAGCCCTGGGAGATGCCTGGGACCATGGTCCTGAAGGCTGGGATGCTGGTCCAGAAACGTGCTAGCATCTTTGGGATTTCTTCTTAATTTTTAAAAAGAATTAATTAATTTGAATATGGTGTAAACGGGTACAGTATAAATTATAGTGGGGAGAAGAGTATGACGGTGACCTTGGAGAGGCCGAGGAATGTGAGATCCAATCAAATGACAAGAGCCCAAGGAAGCAGGAGGGGAAGCCAGACCAACAGAGGGTTCCTGAGCTCTCCAGTGGGTGCAGACGCACATGCCAGCATTTAGAACTGGCACCTGGTGGATCTGGAGTATGTCGGCACCCTGCACTTTCTCCTGCTTTTAAATAATTAAGCAGCAAGTTATCTTATAAAAATCATGATTTTTTAAGATAAAATTTGTCAGATCACTGAAGATGCCTCTGATAAAAACAATATTAATCCAGAATGTCTCAGAGCTGTAAAAATGACTACCTGTGATGGTTACTCTGGCAACACAATTTATGAGATAGAATCCTAGAAGACCAATTTTGGTCTTACATGATCCATAATATATTTTCCCTTTGAAATGTTATAGAATGTTCTGCATTAGTAATAAGGCATTATGAGGGCAGCAGTGTTTTACCTAAAAGTCATTTTTAAGACTTTTCCTTTTAACTCAGATGTTATTTAGCCCGCATTTGGATCTGAGGATGGGAAGGTGCTGGATTTTCCTCCAACATTTCTTACTGGTGAAAATGCTAAGGTAGTCTTAATTCTAAGACTTTGTAGTTCTTTCCAAAAGCCTGAAGGTACTCAGCTTCCTGCCTCTCTTCTGATTTCAGAGTATGACCTGGTGTCTGCTTATGAGGTTGACAGCAGAGGTGACTACGTGTCCCATGACATCGTGCACCACCAGCGGCGGCGAAGGGCACTGGCCCAGCCAGGAGGTGACTCTCTGCACCTCCGGCTGAAGGGCTCCAGGCATGACTTCCAGGTGGACTTGAAAGCCTCCAGCAACCTGGTGGCTCCGGGGTTCGTGGTGCAGACCCTGGGGAAGAGGGGCACCAAGGCCGTGCAGATGTTCCCACCCGAGGACTTCTGCTTCTACCAAGGCTCCCTGAGGTCCCACRGAAACTCCTCCGTGGCCCTTTCAACCTGCCAAGGTTTGGTGAGTACAATGGTTCTGGCTGCCAGGACTGAGATGGGGGCGGCCCTGGCTAAAATGGGGGGGCACCACCAGAGATGTCCTCAGAATAGCCTTGCTGGTGTTTCTGTCACCATGGGGCAGACATCTCTAAAAGCAAGGGGGAAACTGCCAAGTAAAACTGAAATGAGCTGTGTGGACCCCTCCCCACCATTGCCCTCGCGGCTGGCGGATGAACTCCGCCTTTTGGAAAGTCTGCATTGAACTTGCAGCCAGGTCTGTGTCGACCAGCTTCATAGGAAGGTTTTTACTTAGTTTAAGAGTCCGTTATGGAAACAGGGAAATGTCTTCATGTGACTCTAGTTGTTGGGTTGGCTGTCTGGGTCAGTTGGTTGTTGTTTGAGACTTCAAGAATCTTCTCCTGTCATTCTGATGCTGGTGACAAGCTTGAGACCAGGGCAACACTGGCCACCTCAGATGGTGCCTCTGCTGGTGCAGGTTTCAATTCCTGAGTAGGTGACTGAGACCGTCCCCTCAGCTTGTCTGTCTCCTGTGCTGCACTTTGCAGAGGACCAAGTGCCGGCCAGGACTCCCCCTGCCTCGCTCAGGCCTGCTCAGGCTGAAATCTTGATGAATTCTCTCCTACTACCATCAAAATGCTTCCATAGTTTTAGAGGAACAAGGCTTAGGAGATACTTAGACTGTTGGCCACAAATTAATCTCAGGCACAGATAAACACAACGTGACYGAGACCAGAGTAAGCTGCATGGTCAGGACGCTTCCAGCCCTGGCAGAGCAGAAGGTTGAGCACATGGGCTTCTGGACATTGTCCACAGCTCTGGAAAACACTCCCAGCCTGTCCTCCACTTCCTTTCCTGCTAGGAAAGAAGGACTCCAGACCCCACAGCTCCTAAGGACTTGTGTGTGTGGGGGGTGGGGGGCATTGGATGCCAAAATCACATCCATAACCGTTCTTTGAATAGCTACATATATGCAAATRCTGAATCCTATAAAATACTTTAGAAGATTAACTTTCTACTCTTTAGAGGACTCTGATGTGAGTTGATCTCATTCCTGCTCTCCTTTGTAAAGGCTTTTGGTTTGGGATGCGTGGAGCAGGTGTTCAGGGGTGGGGGGATTTCGAACTCTTGTGGAGCATGAAGACTATATGCTGGTTCTTCCACATCCTCTCCCCAAAGCAMGTCTTCCTTAATTGAGTGGTTTAGTCAGTTTTTTCATCACTATGACCAAAAGACACGGCAAGAACAATTTTAGAGGAGGAAGTTTATTGGGTGCTCATGATTTTAGAGGTGTGAGTAGTATATAGACAGCCAACTCCAAAGCTCTGGGCCCAAGGTGAGGCAGGACATCTTGAGAAAGGGTGTGGAGGAGGAAAGCAGCTCAGGATGTGGCCTCCAGAAAGCAGAGAGAGAACTCCGCTCACCTGGGACAAGATATAAACCCCAAAGCATGCYCYSAGTGACCCACCTCCTCCAGCCACACTYGACCTGCCTACAGGTGCCGTGCACTTACTCCATATCAATGGCTCAGTCTGCTGATTAGGTTTMAGCTTTCAGAACCAAATCATTTTGCCTCTAAACTGTGTTYCATTGYCTCAGACATGAGCTTTTGAGAAACCTCATTTCCAAATCATAACATGGAGTGAAACTCTTCATGTATTGCACAAAATTATGATATCTATTCCTTGGATTTCTTTTGCAAAGATTTCGAACAGCCATGTGTGGGAAGGTGGAACATGCCTTTCCAGTTTCGGCAACGCTGGCTCTGGTTTTAGGGACTGGGTGGGTCTTTGCCATTAACAGCGGGAGACAGGCCCTCTGAGCACCCTGGGTCTCCAAGAGGCAGGGCCCTCCCGTGGTAGTTGAGTTATGCCCTGGAAGGTGTCCCATGCATCAAGCTGGCTGGCAGCAGCTTGGGATTTCTGGCTCTCTTTGAACATGACGGGAGTTAACAGCAGAAGTGTAATTGTGCAGATAAAAAGTGAAAAAGAACAGAAAAATAGGCTCCTCTGGGCAGTAAACAATGGAATCTGATAGTGTGACCTAGGGAATAGAAATTTGTATGTTTTCACCATTCATCTTCCAAATACACTAACGCCAGCTTGCCTAATATTTTGTCCATAGACGGTCATTGCAAATGTGACCTCAGCTGGCCTTTAGAGTGAGAGGTTTGGGGGCACTTGCYCTGAGATAGGACAAACCAATGGCATTTTAAGGGAAAAAAAAAGGAAGGATTAAAAGTCCCCTCACTTTAGCCAGATGAGAAGAATATTGAAGGGGCCCCTCTAGTGGCCGTCAAATCTGCTGCTTCTCTCCAGCTGGGGGTCGCCCCACCCCTCACCTTCAAATCTTTTGKCACGTGAAGAACAAGAGAGTGTCTTTTCGTGAGATGAGAGCTCCCTTGTCATTTGGGGATGTTCAGATTCTAGTCTAACCCAGACCTCAGAGAAGATGAGGAGGAGGAGGAGCAGAGGGAGGCTAGACAGGTGCTCTGCCCCTGAGCTACCTGCAGCCTCAGTTGAGACTTTTTCCAGTTTCTAGGTGGAATTCATTGACCCCACTCTCTGGTGGGAGCCAGGAACCAGTAGAGCATTTTGTGCCGCTCCTGATGCCGGGAGAGGTGCGCTGCCTGCCATGCGTCGTAGTCCATGCTGTGGCATCAGGTTTTCGCACAGAGAAAAGGCTGCACTGCACCGTCAGCCCCAGGGCAGCCAAGGAAGTTCACAGCTGCCTGCCCTTGGGGTGTCCATGGGGCTCACAGGAAGGGGCAGGAGATGCTGCTGGCTGAGTGCCTGGGAGAAGCAGGACTTCCTGTCCCCTCACAGGCCGTAGGTCTATTTTCTGGGCAAACTAGGTTCTGTGCAGGTGGTTTGACCTGGTGACATCCACAGGCCATTGACTGCATGAGCAGGCTTCTGTAGCTCTTGTCCTTTCTTGAAAACGGGTTCCAAACCATCCTTGAGTGGATAGCATTTTCCCTAGAGACAAGAACTTCCTTATTTAAGGAATTTGGCCCTGGGTGTGGCCAGGCCCTGGCCTATTTGTATTCACCCAGACAGTTTGGCAGAGCCCAGTGGAAAGCACATGAAGGCAGGATCCTGTCTAGTGGGAAGTGCTCCCTATTCTCCCCATTTAACCTTCAGGATGAAAATATCACTTCTGAGTTTCCAAGCATGTTGCCTCAGAGTGTAGCATCTTGTGCCATGGCCACCACAGTGAGGCCGCACACCTTCCACAGCCATATAAAGTTTCCCCTGGGTCATCCGATTCTGAATGTGGAACATTTTCCAAGTTGTCCTCTTAGGACTGGTTTGAAGAGCRCTGAAATCTAGTTGATGTGGTTGTTCTCTTTGTAGCAAACAMATGTCATAAAGGAGAAAAGCAGAACTAAAACAAGCATCTTACTTTATATGTATGTGGACAAAAAGGACGTGAATGGTAAGTGTCCCTGGAGCCTGCCAGACCTGAGCCCAGAGAGACCATGGCTGATGAGAGGGGCAGGGGAGGGCACACTCTCTCCCAGGTACTTAAACAAGGAGAGGCAGTGAGCACCAGGAGAGTCAGCAGAGGGCACCTCACCACCGTGGTGGCACACGGAGTGGTCCACAAACCAAGACCAAGCCCAGTCTTCAGGGTAGAGTCAGGACGTGATGCTCCTCAGGGGAGGYGTCACAAGCATCCTAAGAAAGGTGGCTAACATCTAAAAAATTTATGAAATTCTTGATAATACCACCCCCCAAAAAGAGATCCWTATTTTTACATTAATCAAGTACTATGCCAAATAATATTGGTATACTGTACCACCAATTATCTTGATTCAAAATATTAGTTAACAATAAGCATGACCTTTTCAAGATAATATCTGTTATACTTACATCTCTACCAAATTGACAGTATGTGTCTCTTGTAATGACCTCACACTCACACAAATTCATTCTAATGCTTAGACAAAACAAAGGAGAAAAAGGAAGGATCAAAAAGCCCTGTTTTCATTTGGATAATGAAAACTGTTGAACAGATAGAAAACCTGGGCTAGAAATAACAATGATAATGATGATGGTGATTGCAAGAAAGGTATTCACTTGTTGAATGTTTGTGCAAAATAATTTGCTAGTAGCTTCACACTTGTTATTCACTTAATCTGCTAAGCCAAAGAGATAAATACTAATTTATTTTAAATATAAGCTGTAACAAGGATAATTAACATAATGTAAAGTCCATGCCTTCAAAATGTACACTTCAGTGGGTTTTAGTATAATCAGAGTTGTGTAGTTTGTACCAGAATTTTATAGTAGACATTGACATCCCCTCAGAAATAAAACCCTAGTGTTCATCCCCATTTCCCCAAATTCTCTTACTCCTGAAGTGCCTCAGAATCCAACCTATTCCCTGCAGATTTGCCTATCTGCCCATTTATTATGAGAAACATCCAACCTGTGGCTTTCTGGTGGCTAGCTTCTTTCCTTAGCATGATATTTTCACAATTCATCTATGCTGTAGTRTATACCACTGCTTTATTTTACCACATATTTTATTTCATCCATTATCAGTTGGTAAACACTACTGTATATTTTCATTTTTCCGTTGTGAATAATGCTGGTATGAACATTTGTGAACAGGTTTATGTGTGGACCTGAGTCTTTATTTCTCTTCAGTATGTACTTAAAAGTATAATCCCTGGGTCATGTAAATCTCTGTGCTTAACATTTTGAGAAACTGCCAAGCTGTTTGCAATAGTAGCTGTGCCATTTACATTCCTCCAGTGTATGAGGGTTCCAATCTCACCACATTCTTTCTAACTTCTTAATGTCTATCTTTTCTATTTTATCCACTCTCGTAATTATAAAGTGGTATTTCAAGGTTGTTTTTTATTTTCTGCATAAAGATTAGAGATTACTGGTTTGGTAAGAAGGTTCACTGAGTATTGGCTACCAACATACCTGAAATCTGGTGAGGCAGAACACCAAATACACAATAAGCCACACAAAGTGGGTATTTTCTTTT